ACTATTCTTTTTTAATTATTCTTTTTTACTTGTTTCAGGGATTTCAAATCATTTTATATAGTAGACAATGGAAGTCCGAACTAGTGAAATTCATTACGAAACATTGTCAATCACCTTCAAACAAACGTTGATCTGTTTTTGTTGTTTCTGTTTTTGTGTTTGTTTTATTCATGTGTGTTTACACGTGTAGCAAGAGAAGAGTTGGTCACCTCTGGCAGAGACCCGCATTACCAGAGTTAGGCTGATTACAATTAGGTTTCACCCCGTTTCCTAAGGGGATCGTTCGTGACTGCATATCACCCTGCGGCCATTCAGCTGTCGGCACGATTCCTAACACCTTAGCTGGTCTACGGTGGCATGTTTTGCAAAGGCTTTTGGGGAAATTTAGTTCCCCTCACCATACTCATTCCTGCCACTGACCAGGAGTCTGGCGACCACGTACGTAAGGCCACATTGGCTTTCCTGACAGGGCCTCCAGTTTCCTGGCCATTCTTCTATCCGCCACCTGGAGACGAGCCCGATAAGTTGCCCAACTCACGAGTTCAAGAAGTGTTATCAAAGTTTATGATAAAAATAATCTTTCATTACATACGCCTTTTTACGAAAGTATTATTTTTGATTCATCATCAGTATGTCTAATATTCTATATGTAATTCTGTCCCTTATAAAACAGTGATTATATCCCACTTGAACAAAATATTTTCCGAACAGAAGGAACATACTTCATTCGGTATAAGGTTGAGTTTGTTTTTGAAGTTTTTTTAAGTTTTTTCTCATAAAAATAGAAAGGCAAACACTGAGAATGTATAATTACTAGTTACCCAAATATTATTCTCAATTTACAATTTTCACATACGGACCAGGCGTTGACAGTATATACCTAGTATTCATAATGCTTTCATTTTAGGGAGGATCTATGATAATTCGTGTAATCAGGGTGAGCATGGTCTCCAGATTGAACCCTGTTTCCAGAGTGAACCGAGTATCCAGGATGCGACGAGAACCCTGGATGTGCAGAAAATCCAGGATGTGTTATGAATCCAGGATGAATCGAAAATCCAGGATGCGCCGAAAATCCAGGATGCACCGAGTATCCTGGATGCATCTGTTGATCAGGATCCGACGAGTATGTTGCTGTCACTGTGACAGATATGAGCAGCACCTGTAAAAATGAATTCCCTTCTTTCATCACAGGCCAAATGAAGATTCCCAACAATCCTGCAAATATACCCCTTCCAATTCGAAAGAGAGTATTGCTTTAATCATATTAGAAATTATATTTTGTTTTCACGGCATATTCACACAGACCAAAACTCACCGAAACACAATTGAAATATTGCTGTGAATGAGGGTGCAAGGACATCATTCGAGGGCAAAAGTTCTTTTTGTTTTTTGTCTAGATACAAAAAATCTAAATTTGATCTTTGAATTCTGTATTACGTATGAAAAGATACGGATGTAAAAATAGTACAAATGTACAAATAGTGAGAATAGTACAGCGAACGTGTCACGAGAGGCAGCACTAGCAGTAGGGACAAACATAAACTATTCATATGTGAAACAGTGTTATTTACGTGATATTAATTGATTATTTGAAGATATAAATCTGATATAAAAAATTATGTTGTGTTAATAAAATGCCAACAAAGCATTGCTGTTTTGCAAAGTGTACGTCAGTTAATGAGGTTAGGTAATGAGGTTAGATGTAAGAAATGGATACATGGTTCGACTAGAGTGGATTTAACAGTGCAAAAAATAAATATTCATATGTATGCTCTAAAGATGAAATGAATAGTAAATTTTTCATAGTTGATTACCATTGATTAGAATGAGATATAACCTCAATCGTTTATCACATCATATTCATTTATTATATTTAATCAAATTTATTTCACTCGGAAATAAATCTGGAATTCATTATTATTTTTGATTTCATTTATTACAGTTTGAATCTACCGCTACTCTTTTACTAAAGTCTGTATACTAACCTGTCTATCAATTCACTTTTTTTTCCAGTTACTTTTAAATTACGGCATGCAAGCCAAGGTTTTAATGTTACATCATTGTTATCCTTTACAGTTGCAAATTTCAGTTTTGCTCCAGGAACATCTTCTTCTGTTAAAAACATTATTTTTTAATTGTACTTTACCATATGTTTAAATGAGGATTAGGCAGTGTTTGTCCCTACCGAACTACTAGCGCTGCTAGTGAGTGATTTTTTGTACTTCAGGAAAAAGGTTCATTACATAATTTTTGCGAACTTCAAAGCAATGATGCTTTGAAAACTATAATTTTTATAACCCATTCAAAAATACGGTAAATATATGATATAGCCACACATTATAACCACTCACCAATCTTAACATCTTGAAATATGCTGTTGAATGTGATTCTGATTTTCCACATATATTCCAGATTTTCCTTGATATTTGTATTTGAACTAAATCACAATCGGATAAAAATAAAATCCAATCATCATAAAATATCGATATTACGAAACCTCACGTCATTTCTTGATAGAAGTGAATTCATAACTGCGAAATTTATGATTACCATGTCCCGCTTATTGAATTCACTACAACATGATTATTTCTCATATGCGAAATGAAAAATACACTTCAAAATAATCTGAAGTAACATTGCTCTGAATCTAACCTCACACTTTGTTTTTATTTTTTTTTTATTTTAAACACCCACTTTCAGCATGGTAGTCAATTATATGAGAAAGAAATAATTTCGCATTCCATTAGTTCGGACTTCCTTTGTCTAATATTATATGAAATAATTTGAAACGCCTGAAAGAATCAATAAAATGAAAGAAAAGCTGAAAAAAAAACAATTTTATTAAGCATCAAGAGAAGACGATTTATAGGTCATTCAGCAAGTGCTGAAAATGTGACCCATTTGCTTCCATACAATAATTCAGATTTTGTTCAAATCTATTCCTAACATTCTGTAGCATATCAGGTGTTATACTTCTGCACTCTACTGTAATTCGTTGGCGAAGATCTTCTATGGACTCGGGCTGCGTATATCTGCTGTTGTTATTTGAACCAAAAAACGCACGAGAGAAATTGAGGAATGTAGTAGTGATAAAATTAACGTTTTTTTCCGCATTTTCATTAACACCAAAAATATCGAGTAAATGTTCTTGCTTTTTTTAAAACTATTCAAGTAAATACAACAAATTGAGTAACATTAGAAAGAGAATTCTGTGCCCTTCCATATGATATATCACTCGACCCCACTTTCCATTTAAAATTTTAGGGTTGTTATTCACCCTCGCTAGGGGGTTGAAGGCACAGGTGGAAAAATACATCTAAAATGTGTCCCCCTCAAAAGCAAAATTGATCTGTCCGAGCATTTTTGCGGTAAGTTACAAAAAAAGGAGACCACTCGTTGAACCACTCGATATGGAATTGGCCGCCGTGGGAGTGTGCCCGACTCACGATCGGAAGACCGTGGGTTCGACAGCTGATTAACGGAAAAACAGATTAAAAAAAAAATATATGTGACTTCTTTGAATCTTCTCATAAACTAGTGTTCCTCCTTGTGGATGATTTCAACTTGAAACCACTTGATGTTATGTTGATAAGTCCAAACATAACATCAAGTGGTCAATAGATGAATCAATAGAACCAACGTAGTACTGACCCATTGAAAATTAGGAGGCTTGACAATTAACAGAAAGACATATGCGTTACCGCATACTAACGAGATATATTCAGTTTAATGTCTCACGTTACAACGAATGAATTCATTATAACTTGATGAAGGGTATTCCTTAACAGCGAAACAACATTGACATTAATTTTCCCGACAAAATTATTCCCACCAAAATAATATCATGGAGTATAAATAATGCTATTTGTCAACTAAACGATATCACTTGACAGTAGTATCTCAGGGGATAACCAAAATGTTCAAGTTGGTGAGTGAATATTCATATTCGAAAATAGTTATGATGATAACTTTTGATAATAAACACTTTATATCAGAATAATTAATTGACATTTCGCTATTCAATTATTTTTCAAATTATTTCAAAAATAATTTTGTACCTGAAATTTCAATGTTATGGTTTTCGAAAATTCAATTTATTTCATTTATCCACATACCATCGACAGAGTAAGCAAAACCTCGAAGTTGCTTGCTTCAATTGCTGTTTTTGTAAGAAGAATCAATTCAACTCAAACAGTGGTAATGTCATCTGCGTAACAGTTTTAAATAGAAACAAGCCTAACAAAAATCATCAATTTTCTTCAAGAATAGTAAATGTGTACGAATATGATGCTAAACATTAGCTTCGAAAGCATTATTGTTATCAGATTGTAATCATCAATTTTTTTGAATTCAATAATTTCCTTTCAGAATTTATCCTTCGAAACATGATATTTTTTGAAATACCTCATGAGAAACTGAAAGTTTCTGTAGGTAAATACTAGTTCAATTTGATAAAATTATTGCTCTTGGATAGGAGAACATGTTCTCATGTTGAAAAGTGAGAATTGAAACTTTTCGTGTTATTTACCACTTTTATTTGTAACTAACTTCACTGCAGTTTCTTCCTATTAGGATATTTTCAAACTTATACACGAAGAGTTCAATGCATAATTAAACTTTTTCTGTATAAGTTTGAAAATGTCCTTATAGGACATTTTCTGCAGTAACGTCAGTTACGAATAAAAACATAAAAATTTTTATTTCTCTTTTCATTATGATCTCCTACCACGTACTAATGGCTACATCCATCAATTTATGTTCTTATGTCCTAGTCTGATTGCCGCTGCCTATGCTGCTCCTATTGTAGAGGTTCCTGTGGCCTATACATCTGCTTATTCTGCTCCTGTAGTTTATGAAGACTATGTTGTTCCCGCAGTATATTCCGCTGGGTACACGGCCTTCTCGCCTTACACTGGATCTTACATCGTCTTGTAAAATATTTTGTGTGATATGTGCTTTTTGAAATAAATTTCTACATTTCCGAAGGAATTTTCACCTCATGAATGAAGGAAGAGCACCGTATAATAATTGTAATTATACATATCGATGAAACATACAGTGTATGGAATAAAATCATTATTTCAAGTAGGGTACATATTTTAACAAACTTCCGAAACAAGTCAAACTTGAATTATAATTTGACATACTTCAACGGAAAAATGCTATCCCTACCTTCAACCCCCGTCGAATGATAGTAAAACCCCCAATTTTTCAAATGGGAAGTACAGGGTTGTGATATTTCATTCGAAAGGTCTCTTCATTCTCTATTCAAGTTTATTGCAACAATCACGGTGAAACTTACTGCAATATACTCAAAACCTTTCTCATGTTGAGGTATTGATAATAAGAAAGTAAGCAAAAACCATAGCAATGTCTTGGAACACCCTGGGCGACCCTGGAAAGCTGGCGCCGAAGAAATATCTGGCAATGGCCAGGAAGAATCTATATTTGAGAGTAGAATGTCTGACTGGCCACTGCCAACTAAAGTAACCTGTCCACCTTCCTGAGAACGATAGGATGGACGATGACCTCGGAGGACAACTCTTCGGAACGATGTTCAATGGGTCACATGGGGCCTAAGAGCTGTGGACTTACACTCAACCTCCCCACTCTACAGAAACATTTACCATGGCAATGTTTTTTTAGAGATGGTATCCTCTAAAAAACTGTAAACAATTTTCGTGGCAACGGTAGTTTGAAACGCCTTGTAAATTTTTTTTTATGTTACAACATTAGTTGCCAGTATTTTGATTTGAGTTCGTTAACTTCAAGTCTCACAAATGGAAATGCATAGGATATCAGTTTTACAAATGATTGTTGAGATAAAACCCGACAAAACAGGAAGTGGCTCGCCTATTTCATGAGAAATTGCCTTATTTAACTCCCATGTCTCGAAAAACATTAAGCAAAATAGGGAAGCAGTTTTGCGAGCTTAATCATGTGGGGCAGATAAAAGAGGCAGCTGCCAATGCAATGAGTGATGAACTCAAATTAGATTTGATACTTGAGTTTGAGGAGAATCCACATACATTGAGTAGACACATCCACTACATTCAATGCTAGCCATACATCGATAGTAAACATATTGAAATAAAATGAAATGCAACCCTATAAAATAATTTTTTGACTGCAGCTCATGGAAGACGATTCCGATAGAAGAACTTATTTTGTGGATACTAACAATCGAAACGTCGTGAAGTAACTTGGTTTGGAATCTTGTTAATGATTTTTTAATTTTTATCTCCTAATAATGGCTCGATTTTTTTGATTTTTTGGTTGTTGCTTGTATTTTATTTCATTGTAATTTTATCCATTTTTCAATTTTATTTTCTTTTTCTCGTTCGTTTTTAGTTCTATGAGTTCTTCTTCCAGCTGGGGCGATTCTGCTGTGTTGACATTTGAAAAAGAATCCAACACCCATTCCGGTATTTCCAATTGCAAAATGTTCTAGAATCGTTCTGCGAAATTACTGTGGTAGTTCTCCAAATGTTGGCAGTAAACAAGCAAGTCATCGTTGTTGAAGGATACTACTGCTAACCAACGCACTTCTGTGTGAAATAGCAATGGGTTGAAATCTTCATCATTAGCAACACAAAGCTGATCGAATAATCTGTAATTTTTCGTAACTAAATGTTGCCTATGAATGACGCAGTGTACAGCGAGCACATCTGGAATTCAATTTTTTAAGTACGCTATAAAGCCTTTGTGACGTCCTGACATAGCCGGAGCGCCATCCGTAGCAGCTGATATGATATTCTTCAGTGTAATTTCTAATCTAATCTAACATTTTTCCAGTGTTTTATATATGGTTTACCCTTTTGTATCCGTCTCTAAATGTCTGGCAAATAGTAGTTCTTGATATATTTTCCCATTTTTAATAAACTTCACGTATGACAACAACAATGCTTCATTGGTTGCTAGAGTGGACTCATCTAACTGAATTAGGAATTTAGAAGTCTTCAAATGACCACACAATGACATTTCAATGTTTTCAGCCATCTCATCAATTCATCTTTGCACGGTCAAAGGAATTTTTCGGATAATATCTGCCGCTGGTTTATAGAGCACAGTAGTTATTACTTCTTTTATTGCCGGTAAAATCAAATTCTCTCCAATAGTGTGAGGTTTACCTCTTTGAGCAATTAGCAAGGAGATATTGTAGGAAGCTCGGAGCTGAGCTGGGTGTTTCTTTTCCAGTTCTTGAAAATAAGTCACACTTTTGTCTTTTTTATCTGAATGCATTTTATTCAAATGATCTTGTTGCCTTGAGGGTTTCATCGCTTCATTCGAAAATGTTTTTTGACAAAGAAGGCACACAGGCGAAGATGGATTTGTGGGATTTTAAATAAATTCACATTTTATATATTTCGCGCTATATTGCTTTTTCTTCTTTTTTACTTTCGACTTAATTTTGTCTTCAAAAATGCCGAAGTGAAGAATCGAGTATTAAAAACTTGCTAATGACATCACTCACAGTATTCACCACCGCACGTACATCACTTTACCTAGCTAGTCGCTAACTAACTTGTTTTCGTAATATCGTCGAATGACATTACTGGCTGGATGGCGCGCGCGCTTTTATACGAGGCAGCGGGCGGGCCTAGTACTTTCGAGAGTAGAGACTAGAAACTTCTCGCTTCGCATTGAAGCTTACCGTCATCTATTGTACATTTTGTCAAATATCGGACAGGAAATAGTTACTATCTAGTCCCCTAGGTTGCGTTACACAAGGAAACGCGCGTTAAGCGTAACGGAGCGGTAAAATTTGTGTTGAAAGCAAAAAACATTTTTTATCTAGCCATCGCCTTCCTAAACCGCTTCAACGCCCCCCAATTTTCTCTTTGCCCTTTACTGCCCCCTTATAGGTCTCCCGCGCCCACAAGGAGGTGTCATCGCCCACTTTGAGAAAGACTATTGTAGATGAACGGTAAAGAAGGATTCTCGAATATTTCAACTGGGGCTACCCCACTGGGGGTTGAAGGGAAGCATCTACATATGAAAATTACCTTTTCAACACTGTTTCTCCGTAGTGCTATATTTTCGAAGGCTGAAATGTTGTATGTAGGTTCGTTTTATGTTGTAGGTTTGGAGTATAAAACGATTTTTCAATATTTCAACTCTGGTGTCGGTTGTGAGGAAAAAGGCGTGTTCATAAAATAAAATCACCTTTTCATCACTGCTTCTCCATGCCGGGGCGTGTCGCTATTATTCTATATTCGTGAAATCAGCATTTTAGAAAATGATACTAGGCTTTCGGATTTTCGATTCTGTTATTTTCGATAAATGTTAGACACATTAACATTGTTTTCTTCAATTGAACATCAAGTCAGATGATTCGTAGTATCTAATATTATAATGATATCGATTTCTGTAATCATTTCATTGGAATTTGAGATATCAAGACAAAATGAATGAGAGTGGGCTCATAAGGGGAACAGAACATCACTTAGTTTTTAGGATAATATTTTGGATTTGGTCCATTTCATAAATCGCTATTGAAACCAATTTAGTTATTTGAATCTGAGGTGATGCTGTAAAATACAGGGTGTAACTGAATGAGTGTAAAACATTTAAGGAGGTGATTCCTCATCGAAAAAAAGATAGGATCTTTCATATAAAGAAACTTCATTGGAACATCCCTTGTTAAGATACAGCTCCTTGAAAGGGGTACATAAAATTTGTATAACAATTTTTTTCACAAGCACTGAAGAAGTTACGATATTGAAATTTACCTGACGTTTTGTAATACCAAAAAGACACTTAGCCAGTAATTTATTTGGTTTACCCCATAGTTGTAAGGGGTGGAAAACGCAACCCCTAAAGTTTATTTCCAATGTAACTTTTTGTCTTATCATTTGTTCACCATTTAACAATTTATTATTGATAGCCTGTTTCATTCTGAACAAAAAATGTCTCTTGGGTTTTTTGCCCAAAATAAACCAGTTCGCAGCAAAAAATCATTTTACGAACAACTACAGACATACATCGTCATAAATGCGAACTGGATTTATTGTTATTTTGTAGTTAGTACCTGCATTAAACGATTGGAGGTTAATAAACAAAACTAATTTATCAATAACTAAACAAAACATGTAGGAATCATAGTAAATGTTCAATATGTCTATCTTCAGACATTACGCATGCGTCTAGACGTCGGAGCATTGAGCCACGTATTCGCTCAAATATTCTTGGAGTCTCTCTGATTACTCTGCACGCATCGATGATGCGGTTTCATGAGTCCTCTACATCGCGAACGGGAGTACGATAAACTAAATGCTGTAAATGGCCCCAAATGAAGAAATCGAGAGGACTGAGATCCGGGATCGAGCGGGCTTGTTCTGTGATCCTCCTCGACCTATCCACTGATTTGCATGTGTTTCAGTTAAATGCTGACGTGCTTTTTGACTAAAATGAGCGGGAGCCCCATCATGCATAAAAAACATATCCCTTCTGACGCCCAAAGGAACTTCCTCCAGCAGTACTGGATGCACTTCTTTTGAAAATTGAACGTATGCCTCACCATTTAATCGAGGAGCCACACGTTAAGAGAAAACTGTTTTTGATGGTTAGTTTCGACAATAACGTGAGGGTTTTCATCAGCCCATATGTGGTAATTATGAAAAGTGATAATCTTGTCCCGAGAAAAACTTTTTTGGTAATACAAAACGTCAGGTTGATTTCAATATTGTAACTTTTCTAGTGCTTGTGAAAAAAATTGTTGTTCAAATTTTATGTTCCCCCTTTGAGGGGATGTATCTTAACAGGGGATGCTCCAATGAAATTTCTTTATATGAAAGATCCTTTCTTTTTTTCGATGAGGAATCACTTCTTTGAATATTCCACACCCATTCAGTTACACTCTATATATGAAATATAACTTTAGTGGAAATTTGAACTTTTAGTTTTTGAAATTGTTACTGAAAAAATTCCAATCATTGTTGAGAATCTAAATTGTAAATCAATGTCCAATTTATTCGAAATATCAGATCTGAAGATATTGAGAACATAATGATTCTAATAAGAAACAACTTGATTCACTGACTATAATGAAATTTCAGTAAATTAATGTTCAGGAATAATTTATAAACGAAACACCCCACCGCCTGTCAGCTGGATTTTGGGTGACGGAGAATCCCGGCAAATACCAGTAGGTGGGCACGGGTTTACAGGACGTGCTGATTGCGCTGGGTGTTCGTATGCTGAATATCCAAGTGATGATGCTGATGTTGATAGTGCTGAACCATGTCCTGGATATACTGATTGCGCGAGGTATCCAAGTGGTCCTCCGCCTGTCACCTGGATTGTGGACGACGGGGAATTCGGGCACATTGATGTGCACGGGTATACAGGATGTGCTGGTTGCGCCGGGTATCCATATTCTGAATATCCGAGTGATGATGATGATGCTGATAGTGCTGAACCACGTGCCGGATTCACTGTTTGTGCCGGGTATATGTGTACTGGATATCCAAGTGATGATGTTGATCCTGATAATGCTGAACTATATGCTATTCCAAGTAGTTGAGCAAGTAAGGATACTGAACTCCTTGGTTTCGGTGTCAAGTCTGCAACTGGTGTGCCACAAATAACTGTCAAAGTTAAAGAAACGGTCAGAACCTGTGAAAAAACAATTTCAATCAGTAAGCTCTATTGTGTTCAAAGACGCGAGTTTGAAGTTGCCATAGTCGCGAACCAAAGCAGTTTTCGATCGATGATCTGAGAAGTGTACGTTATAATATCAAATACAATATGACTGCCAGAAACACAGGTCTTTTTTTGTTTTTATCCATCGCGTAAGGTTTGCCTACAAAATAAGGATGAAATAATTGAAAATGTACAAAAAACGGGAAATTGTGGATTTATTTTTATCATTTCAACATGAAGTAAAAGCAAAAAAACAATGCTACATAGCTGAACTAAGCATAATAGTGATACACAAGTGTTTGCAAAGTGATTATGAGTCTTTATAAAAACGTTTCTTTTTCCGCCAATATGTATGGTACTTTTTCGACTATATTCCTGTGAGTTTTCCTTTTTCAACATCCACAGTATTCTGCCATCATGTTAACATTCCACCGAGCTTGGTATCTGCGTTCCATTTCTTTTATGTCTTGATGGAACCGTTCTACTTGTTTCTCACTTAAAGTCCCTAGATTTTCGAGAAAGTAGTCCAGATGTGAGTGAAGGAGATGGACTTTGACACTCATGTTGCAGCCCAATATTTTGTAGTTTTGTATGGAACTGTTCTCCCTGTTTCTCACTTACAGCCCCTAGATTTTCGGGAAAGTAGTCCAGATGTGAGTGAAGGAAATAGACTTTGACACTCATGTTGCAGCTCAATATTTTGTAGTTTTGTACGCATTTTTTCCTTTCATTTCCATTTTAGTGACAAAGTTTTCATATTTTGAAAGTTTTCTTTTGTCAGGCCCAACGAAGACTCCTTCTTTTAGTTTAGCATCGGAAAGACCAGGAAACTTCTCAGAAAGATACTTGAAACAACCTCCTTCTTTATCTAATGCTTTCATAAACTGTTTCATTAGCCCCAAGTTTCATTAGGGAAGAAAAAAGTTGCTGCAACAAATATGATTGTTGTTCCAATCTTACTCTACTAGTTTGGAGTAGTGAAGTGGACTCGGGAAGAGCTGTATCAACTCGACGTAAAGACATAATGCATCTCTATAGGAGTTTGCATCTCAAATCGTTTGTTTCACGGTTGTACTTCCCATGACAACATGGATGTAGTCTGTAAAGTCGTCAGGAGTTTGGACCTCCCTCTATGCATGGTCCGTGACCATGAGAGAGCAGAAATTGAAGCATTTCTCTTTAGGGCATCTGCCCGAGCAGCTGATGAACTCGGTTTAGTTTTCGACACTGAACGAGGTGACCACAACTCTGTCACCGAGTTGGAAACAGTTCAGCAAAAAGCTCATATAAAAGTCGCAGAGATCACCTCACTTCTGCGGAAACATATGGATAAGCCGATGCATGGGGTCTTCTTCGATAACATTGAAGACCTTGGCTTATCAAAGCGCCTAACTTTCGCTTTCCTCAGGTCGAGTGGGCTGAAGTCGGAAACTGAGGGGTTTATTATGGTTTGCCAGGATGGTGTCTTCAACACCTTAGTCTACTGCAGTCGTGTGATGGGTATAGAGGTTCCTGACACAAGGTGCAGGACCTGCCACGAGGCGCCCGAGACCCTAATGCACTTGCTATCAGCATGTTCAGCATATGCAGTCTCGGCCTATATCCATCCACATAACGCGGCCCTAAGAGTGCTATATTAGCATCTACGGCACTCTTACGGGATTGACGAGGCACCAGTGTTGCCTTACGCTCCGAGGGATATTGAATCCGTTGTGGGGAACGAGAAGTGCCGAATTTATTGGAACTATTCGTTCCCCATTCTCAAGCTCATAGAAGCTAATGAGCCTCCTGTAGTCCTTCTCGACATACATCGTGTAGTTTTCAGCTCCTAGCAAGACAAATATCGTTCGAAAAGAGAAGGAAAAACGAATAAAATAGCGATATTTTCTCTTCGAACTCCGCAGACTCTATCCAGATCACTCTGTCAAGATGGTGCCTCTGATTATTGGAGTCCTTGGTAGAATGATGCCCTCTCTACTCTCGAATCTTAAAATCATACCGGCTTGCCGCACTAAGGCTGAAATCTTAGCCACTCTGATGCAGAATGCTGTCATTCTAGGCTAACTTCGCTTGCTCAGGGCACATGATTCTCGGACCCAATGATTGGGAAGTGGACATTGGTTGATAATGCTGGCGCGCCCTCTCGCATGTATCGGGTCTTCAGGGGATAGGGCCTGACCAGCACAAACTACGGTTGAAAATAAATAAATAATAATACATAACAAATCCCAGAAATGAAAGAAAATCATCTCAGTCTGAAATGAAAAAAAGTTTCAAAAATACTACACAAATACGACACGTGAGATGAATTTTCCCAACTAAATATTTATTTCCAAAATATTTTCGAAAAAAAAATTTAATATCGTTATAGCATATATGTCTTGCAACTCACCAATCTGAACATCTTGACTCGAATCATTGGAAAAGTTATTCTGATTGTTTTCGATATATTCGTACGTTATTTTCTTTATAATAATTAGATTTTCAATTACACTTCAATTGGAGAAAAAATCAATCATCGTAAAATGTAGATATCACTTGAATTCACTTTATTTTGATTTCCAATTGGATTTATGACTGAAATTCATTACTGCATATCAAATTCACTAAAAAATCTGTGTAGGCGTTCAAAATCACTGTTAGAATGCTTCTATCTTTTTTTATCTATTTTATGAAATATACTAAGTGACAAAGGATGGTAAACACCAATTAATATTGAAAATATCTCAATAATGTTTTGCATGTGTATTTATGTTGAGGCCAGTAAGAAGCCTGTAAAATTTCAGCCGTATCGGAAGCTATTCTGACCAGTTGTTCAACTGTTTTTTTGTCTGAGCATTTACCATTTTTCCAATTTTCATTCTTATTTGGGCTTTAACTGTTGAAGAGTTTGTTGTGAAGTGTTTCGTATTGTTGATACTATGCCTCGAGTGCGAAGACTTAGTCGTGTTCCTAAACTTAGTGATTTTGAGAGGTGACAAATTGTTGACTCACGTGAGGCAGGTTCTTCAGTAAGAGAAATTTCCAGAAGAACCAACTGATCTCTGCGTACTATTTTGAGATTTTATCAGGCATGAACACAAGAAGGCCAAGAACATCGACGCAACCGATTGCACTGGTGCAGAGACAGAATAAATTGGGATCAACTGTGGAACCGCGTAGTCTCGAGCGATAAATCTCGCTTTTGTGTGGGCATGCACTATGGACGAGCGAAAGAAGACGTCATGATGGAAAACGAGAACCCCAGGTTGATGTGGAGAGGTATATTCATCATACCGTTGCTGTAGAGGCAACCCAACCAGCAAAGTTGTTTTATAATTCCATGGTGTTGCAACAGTTTTATTTTATAAGTATTCTATAATCACTTCCAGAATGCTAATTGATTATATTGGATGATCGGTGAACACAATACAGTTGTAGGCAATACAAGTGTTTTATAAATTTGTCATAGAAACATTTATGAAATGAAATTAAAAACCCATTATGAAATAGTCAGGAACTTATCACAGAAACGTTTTTGCAACTAACTTATAAAACTTATTTTCCTATAAAAGTAAACTGTTATGTAGCAGTTTTATAACACTTATATGCTGCCTCCCAGGATATGTAAGTCGATGGTTCAACCAGATGTATATGGAAACATCAACATAACTGAAAATTATTTTCAGTGATCTCCACCCCAACATCATATTGCCAAATGGCAATCCCCTACTTGTAATACCTCATCTGAAAGCTCTTCAGAAATGCTCACCAATAGTACCATACATGCTACTTAGTTTTTGGTTTACTAAATAAAACATTATTTATTTAAATTGAAATTTCATTTTGTATTAATAATGAAAGATGTGTTCAAAATAATTTACATTCTTTTCAAGACAATAATAGAGTCTATTTCAAACTGTTGAGGTACATTGCAAATTTTTATCTGGAAATAGCTTGGCATTCTTGGATTATTATTTTTTCAGTTACTCTATTGAGTCAGGTTGCGTCTTGAAAACAACAAATTTCAGGTGGCCCAGAGAAAAAAATCAAGAGAATATAAGTCCTGAGATCTAGTAGGCCATTCAATACGACATCTCCTCCCAATCCATAGATCAGCATAATAATAATATATTCATTCACTAAAACGAATGATAGAGTTTATTATATAATACATAATAATTCAAATAGTTAGGTAAATGGTTTTGATGATATTTTTTGTACATAATTTTTAAAGTATTATATCATGAAATGAAATATAAATGGATAAATATGAGTGATTATCCACAAAAACATATGCTTGTCGTGAAACAATGAGAAAAAATGATGATAGAAAATAATGAAGGATACATGTTTTTACGTGTAGTATCGACACCTTTTCATTGAAGAAAACTCAGGCTACATTGAAAACGAAGAAATCGGAAGAACAGTATTTTGGTCTTATTGAATTATTTCAAAAATCATTCTTCATATCGATCAGTTGATGGGTGAATGATCTAGGAAGGTTTGAAATCCAATTTTCCAGTTCTTTTTTGAATAGGCTTAGCGAGTTGATGGTTTTCAGTTCACTGTAAACTGCATTGAAAACTCTGGGTTTCAATAAATATAATGAATGTTGGGATATTGTTTTAGGCAGAAGGTACTGCGATGTGGTTATCTCCTTTTCAAGTATTATATGTGTGCACGTAGTAATTTTTGGACCCTTTTTGGACAACTTTTGCTAGTTGATAAATTCCATCACTGGAATATAATCTATATTTTGAGTATATTATCTTTAGTATCCATTTCTGGAGTAGATCGAGTCCGTTCATTTAATTTATTGTAAGCACCTCCCTAAGCTATCATTCCATACCTCTATTGTGATTCTACCAGTGCGAAGTATAAAATTGCCAAGCACCTCATTTCAAGAAACTTCTTGATATATTCAAACTCTGCTATGAAGTTCCTCAATTTGAAAATGAGCTTGTTCATTCACTTTTCCTCATCTAATCATTGTATGACTGGAACTACATAATGAGGAGGTGCCCCTTCCAAGAGTTGTCCATCTTTGGACACAAAATTAACATTGGAATCACCTGCTGAAATTATTTACAACGTATAATAGTCTTCTCCTAATTCTGCAGAGCCTACTCGACCGTAAATCTGTGTTTGCATATATCCCTGTTGCCCTTATAGTAATATATGAAACGCAAGTCTCTCTCTTTTCATCTTCATTTTCGTAACGGTCCCGTCATGTATTCACCAGCTTACTCCCCAAGTATAGTGTGCTTAAAGAAATTTTACATCAAAAAAACAGAGTATAACTTTTTACGTGCGTACATAAGTACATACACACTATATTTTGTTTAAATTTTATTCTAAATATGATTTATTATTTCTCTTACGGATCACAAATTTCGTGTAACTTGTCGTAACTGACTTTGGAGCTGTCTTGATCTCCTTCTGGTTACAAAGATATTAATTTTTCTAGTCTTCGTTTCATACACCTCTCGCTCCAAGACTCGATGACCTACCGGGAGGTTATCTTCACGATAACCCTCAAAAGTCTCGAGGAGCAAGCCCGGAGATTGCGATAGCAAAACACACCTCTACACACCTTAAGACCTACATAAGACCGTTCATGGACTATAAAGCAATAATCTACTGCGCAATCTCTCCGAAAATAACACATCGCTTACTAACCTCAGCGAGGAGAATAGTACGAAATGTACACAACCTTCCTCACCGATTCCCCTCCAACAAACTATATAACACCGTAAAACTAACCCCTATGAATTTGAGAATTCAGGAACTCCAAGGCAAGTACATCACCAGAACAATCAGAAGCAGCAACACTACGGAAATTGAGACACTGGTCACCCCTTGAACGCCCCGCGGGGGCTCAACGAGGATCCCCAGAAAAATGCTCCCATGTTCCCTCGCCAGACTCCTACGAGCCCTGGAGGATATCACGGAGCGATTCCAGGACATCCTTGGAGAGTTTCCGTTGGCGATCAGGTAAAAGACAGCCCACTGCCAGAGGAGGAGACCAGGAATGAATAGTTCTACCTACTCCCCAAGACCCAACAGATTCCGAACCCACCAATGAACCACCTGCAACTGTACCTGGACTACTTCACCAATCATTACCCAATCCATACACAAAAACAGCAATGCCCAAGGAACGATAGAAGATCCACTAACCCGACCAACATAGGACAAAAGCACTGTAAACAGACGTAAACACCCAACAGCAAGAACTAGATGCACATAAAAACAAAAATTTTTTATCAACACAGCCCCTGAAGAGGTACTAGCCTACATGTAAATTTCATTTACATGGACCACTGTCGTCCTCACTGATAGACACTCGGATGTTTCGCCGTGAGACACTTGTCTTATTGGCTTTTCAGTACCAAATACGGATAACATCAAAAGAAACACTCAATTATTTCATAAACCAACCGACTGTTTGTTAGAAAATGGGTCGAATTCACTCATGCCATCGATGTCAGTACGTAAATAACATACATTCGCTTGAATTGAAGGAGTTATATTTTTTGGCTTTCTACTACTCCATCTTGATATAAAACAATGTGGGAATCTTCCAAAGAAAGGAAGGAAGTAATCGATTTCAAAATAAGTATTTCTATTACAGGGCCGAATACCTCAGTTTCATCTGCTTAGGCCTCACATATATTTGTTTCATCTGTATCCTTACAATACAGGTAACGGAAAGTAATACATTATACTAGTTGTTGCCCGCGGCTTCGCCCGCGTAGAATTTGGTAGTTGTAGTACTAATTAGTACTATGTTGCTGTATCGCTGCTGTTCCAATGTT